CATTACAGATGGTTGTGAGCCACCATGTGGGTGCTGGGAATTGAACTCAGGACCTCTGGAAGAACAGCCAGTGTTCTTAACCTCTGAGCCACCTCTCCAGCCCCCCAAGGTGGCTTTTTACACACCTGTAATCTCAGTATCCAGGAAGCTGAGATAGGAAGCATTTAGAGTTTGAGGCTACCCTGCTACAAGAGCAAAACTATTTCAACTGCGCACTCCGTCAGAAATTCATTCAGTGACTCCAAGAGGTATTTTATTAGTTGCCTCATAGGAGGAGACTGCAATCATGATGAGCTTTAGTATGTAAGGTCTGCTGGGATCAAGGGAGATAGTGAAAGCTCGTGGAGGCCATTCTCCAACTCGAATTCTTCAGCCAGAACCCAAACCCTCTAACGAAGCGGTTCCTGCTTTCCCATCAGACACACTGAAAACACAATTAAGAGACTGCACAATGCATTTTAGCTGAAACTTATTTCTACTAGATTGAGCTCTGAGGTGTGGCTTTTATTATTATTTTGTGTGCACGATGTATGCATGTGTGTGGGTGTATGTGCCAGCCTGTCCATGGGGAGGCCAGAGGTCTCCACTGGGCATCCTCACATTCATTCACTGAACCTGGAACTCACTGATTGGCTAGGCTGTCTGGCCAATAAGCTTCAAGGATCCTCCTGCTTTCATTACCCCCTCACCAACTGCTGCGGTTATAGATGCGACAACTCTGAGCAGCAGCTTTCACGTGGGTCCTGGGGATTCAAACTCAGGTCCTCAGGCTTGAGCAGCAAGGACTTTTGCCATTGAGGCATGTGCTGAGTGAGCCCCCAGAGGTGGAACTTTTAAGATCTCACAATCAGTGATGGAGCTAAAATTTGAACCCAAACCAGCGTTCTTTTGTATGTGTGAATGTTTGGTGGCCAGAGGACCTCAGGTGTTTTTGTTTTGTTTTTAAGACAGGGTTTCATATACCCCAGGCTAGCCTCAAACTATGTAGTTGAGGATAACCTTGAACTTCTTGCCTACTGCCTCTCTCCTAGTGCTGGAGTCACGCGCTACCCCACCTGGTTTACGGGCTGCTTAGACTAGAGCTCAAGGCCTTGTACATATGGTGCAGGAACTCTACTGTGAGCTAATACATATCCTCAGTCCTCTTCCCCCTTTTTTGAGACAGGATCTTTTACTGACCTGGAGCTTGTCCAGTAAACCAGGCTGGCCAGTGAGCCCCAGGGATCTGTCTCCATAACCTCCCTAGCAATAGGATTTAGCCTGGTTTTGTTTTGTTTATTTTTGTTTTTTGAACAAGTAATCAAGGCTTATTTTCAGCAGATCCAGAGAACGAAGTGGAAAGTACACCCTCCAGAATGGAAGGCAGCCCCACTGAGTAGCAAAGGCATTCCAGTTTCTCTTCCCCTCTTCTGGAGACTGAACTCAGGTCCTCTTGAACTCCAAGCGCTGCCCCTCCCCCACATTTTCTTTTTTTGGGGGTTTTTAGAGACAGGGTTTCTGTGTAGTCCTAACTGTCCTGAACTAGCTCTGTAGACCAGGCTGGCCTCGAACTCACAGATCCACCTGTCTCCTGAGTGCTCGGATTAAGGGCGTGTGCCACCATGCCCCACCACATTTTCTTTTGAATTCTTTTGTACTGGGATTTGGATGTAAGGTTTCAGGATCGCCAGACCAACTATCTCCAACTGTTACAATCCCAACCCAGCCAGCTTTAATTATGTCATAAATAAATTGCTTTTCCTTGACAAGTTCCTGTCTGAAACAGTAGTGGGACATGTCCATCTTAGACTTTGTAAAAGATAGTAACAAAAGCAGAAATTATGGGGTTCGAGAGTCGGCTCAGTGGTTAAGAGCACTGGTTGCTCTTCCAGAGGATTTGGGATTCCCAGCACCCACAACCATCTGTAACTCTAGTTCCAGGGGACCTGATGCCCTCCTCTGGCCTCTGAGGCACCAGATACAGATGTGGTGCTCAAACATACATGCAAACACCCCACCCCACCCTCCACAAAAACCCACAGAAATTTCTCTTCGGAGCTGTTGGGAGTAGGACTCCAAAGGGAGACATATACATCCATCTGTAAAAATCTCCAGTCATTGCCAGGCGTTGGTGGTGCACGCCTTTAATCCCAGCACTCGGGAGGCAGAGCCAGGTGGATCTCTGTGAGTTCGAGGCCAGCTGGGCTACCAAGTGAGCTCCAGGAAAGGCGCAAAGCTAC